AAAGAATATGTTATAAGGCAAAGCGAAATCATTAATTTAAATTTACCCTTGTTTTATAGAAAGTTAAGCTACTAGAGTTTTTAAAAGAAGTAGTGTATAATGTATAAAAAAATTATATATCAATTGTGTAACTATGTCAGAATATCTACAAATTTGAATGGTCACTTTTGTTTAAAATTCATTAGTTTTGCTTTCATCTTATGAAGTAACTATTTCTTATGACTGTTAATGTAAGAGATAAAATAAAAATGGCTAATTTATTCTCAATAGCTATGATTATGCACCTTGAAAAAGAATTGATCCAGTTTACATTAGACCTGCTTTTCATTTTTTTTCCCTTTGAACTTCCTCACGAATGTGGATTTGTATTTTGTGCAAAGATTTCATTGTTATTCTATTATTATCAAACATTTTAATCACAATTTTCATGGCTTCACACAAGATGGCTAATTTTTCTTTTAGAGACAGAGATGGTTTTACAACTTCTTTCTCTTCCCCTTGTTCTACTTAAATTGCACCTTGAACAAAGTCATCATCTTTAAATTGTTGATGCACATCCTCTTCACCTTCAAGAGTTAGCCAATTTTTGATAGACATTGGAGTACAAACATGTAATGCAACTATTTGCACTGAATATCATCAATTAACTTTTCATTTAAGTTTTCTTCATTAACATTTTCTTCTACTAAATTTTCTTCTATACTTCCATTTACACTTTCAGAGATGATAGGCATTCTGAATTCATCATGAGGTAATATAATTTTTGTATGAGCCCAGCAATTTTTAATGGTCTCAACAGTTATATCATTACAGGCAATTTTCACCCATCTCATGTTTTGCAATTGGTTAACTTTATAAACATTATTTTCTTCAGCTTCATTGTGATCTATTGCATGTTGAAGTTGTAGGTGGCAATAATGAAGTTTGAAGGATGTGATAATCCTAGCATCCATGGGCTGGATTTTTGAAGTTGTGTTTTTTGGCAGAAAAAGTATTTCTATGTTGTCAAGAAAAGTGTACCAATAGCATGTGAAGTGGCATTGTTAAGAATGAGAAAAATATAGTGATTTGATTTATTCATTTGCATATCTAACTTTTTTACCCATTCCTGAAAAAATATAGCTGTCATTCATGCTTTTTTATTATTACAATAGTAAAATCCAAGCTCTTTTTCAGATTTTTTTTTAAAGCATCTTGGTTTTTTCGTGCATTCAATAAAAAAAAGAGGAAGTTTATGTGTATCATTAGCATTGGCTGTAAGTGCAATTGTGATTTTTACCTTGTTTTTTTTGACCCTTCAATTTGACAGGATATGATTGTATGATCTGGAGTCATGGAATAAAACAAACCTGTCTCATCCATGTTGTAAATATTACACAGAGAATAATGATCAGTAGTACGAATAATATGTGAAAGACTCAAGTTAATGGTGATGATATCAGCAGAACTACTTTCACCAAACAAACTAATTTTATGGAAATTATGCCTTTTCTGGAAAGAATATAACCAGCCATTTGAAAACTCTGGTTGGTCATTCTCAGGAATATTTAATAACACTGCAAATTTCT